CTCTCTCTCTCTCTCTCTCTCTCTCTCTCTCTCTCTCTCTCTCTCTCTCTCTCTCTCGCTTTTTCGTTTCGCGAGACATACGCCCATGTAAAACCTAATTTATAATGAGCTCTTTGCTTCCTATTTTTTACTCTCTATCCTTTTCTCTATCTTTAAAAACCTTAGGTTTAAGTCAGAAAGAAATAAAGAGCAAGAAATAGGAAGCAAAGAGCACATTGTAAATCTGAGCTAAAGAAAATTACACACTATGGAAAATAAAAAATAGAAAGACAGGAATCAATAAAAACTTGCGCTGGTAGAAAATTGACTACAATCTAATCACCAGCGTGGCCTCTGATTGACTTCTGTTCTTCTGTTTTCTGCTTTTTTGTCAAGCTATAAATTCTTCCTAAGAGGGATTATTCGTAAAACTTGGCGTGCATATAGCACGATCAAATGCGAAATATATGCATATATACTGGTCGCGAAACCTTTACACATATGCACACAGTCGCGATCCTATCCACACCTCGTTAGAACGGCAACAAAAGGCTGATTACCTCGGTCGTGTATTGCGGTGCACAACGTGTGTACACTTGACGAGCGCACATCGCCATTCCCTCTCACTCCCCGGCTTCGATCGGCCCAATCTGAGGCAGTGTGTCAAATTTCCAGACGACCGGAAACGCTGGCGTCTCGTGCCAGTTGCAACGTGCGAATTATAGGGGTATTACGCAAAATGTCGACGTCCGTAGTCCGATCTGAAAATTGTCGCATCACTCAGTACATATTTACTAGGTCGATAATCACGAAAAATTTCCGGCCGATCGCGTTTCCAGTTACATAACTCTCTAGCGTTATATTATATCTATCTGTCTCTGATTCCTAATTCCCGATTAATAAATCCATCGCATTTCTAATTCCCGATTAATAAATTCGACAATCGCTCGATGCTGTTTGAGTGAGATGGTAGTAATAACAAGTGTGAGAAACGCTAGCTCGACACGTCGCGACAAGCACCGACTGTACATAGCCAGAAACGAGGAGATTATTGTATAATAACGTGCTCACGTTTTGTTCACAATCGCACATCGTTATTTTCGATACTCTCAGTACTTATTTTCGCGTAAGACTCATTTTCGATGGGCAAAAGTTGCGGAGCGATGTCGATTGATGTGTCGATGGCGGTTGCTCTATGCAAAAAGGTCGAAGACGGCCGCGCAATGCATGACGGGCGCCAAAACGTGAACAGTACCACGGTTCAACAAAGGCGCGCTCTATAGGATATCTCTCTCTCTCTCTCTCTCTCTCTCTCTCTCTCTTACTAAAGTCGATGTTACCGCCCGAGATTCGACACCGTATATATCTCTGACGTCATATTATTTAACCACCTCTGATTTACCAATGCATTTTTAATTCTCGAGTAATAAATCCGACGGTCGCCCGATTCTGCTGCTATTTAAGTGAGGCGATAGCAATAACGAGTGTGAGAGACACTCACGATCGATTCGGCATGTCGCGACAAACACCGACTGCATGTAACGCGAAACTGTATGTTATTACTGCCTAGTACTCACGTTATGTCCTGACGATCGCACGTAGCTATTCTCAACGCTCCCCGATACTTGTTTCCGCGCGAGGCTCACTTATGACGGACAAAAGATGCGTAAAATGCGGAAAGATGTCGATCGATGTGTCGATGGCGGTTGCTCGGCGCAAAAAGATCGAAGATAGGCTGGTGAATTCGCGCCGCGACGTGAACTGCCGCGCTGCTACAATTGCGCTATCTGTGAGACGCGAGTGAACGTGCGAGCGAGCGAGAGAGAGAGAGAGAGCTTGATGAACATAACCCCGAAACATCAAGCACGTTATTCGAGTCGCATCGTATCTTTAACCTCTCCGTCGTCTGGAGACCGCGATTATCGAAAGCGAAGAGAAGCGGGGGAGGAACGGAAAAGATCAGAAAGGCGAGCGGAATCTTAGCGAATTTTGCGAGTGCGAATAAACGACGGGACGCGCGCGCTTGCGGAATAATAACTACGAGTAGCGTGATGTTCCGCGTTTGGTAACTTAACTCGATTCGGTACGTATTATATTGCGTAATTCACAGATGCATTCGCAGATGTGATACGTCGGACCCAGATTACAGAGGAGCCGAATGTGTGCGGCTAATGGATGCTTGTGGGAGATCCGATGACCTGAATGATTCACTACGCCCGGGACGGAGATGGATACACTTACATTGTCTCTCCCTTCCTCCCCCCCCCCTCTCTCTTTCTTTCTTTCTCCTTCTCCTCCATATACAAATTTCCCAAGGTTTTCCCAAATACAGCACAGATCTCGATTAGAATGTCAAAATTTGATACAAAAATTTGATACAGGTTATTCCACTACGATATTAATTGGGAATTCCATTCTTGTCGCAAAGACAGATTCTCCATCTAGAATCGAAACAGAAATATATGAGAACTCATGACATTTTTCCAGTCCATAATGTTGATATACTTTTATGACTTTCAAGCAGGGAATCTCATTTTTATACCAACTATTGTATGCAATAGAATAAAATATCAAAAAGTGAAATACTTCCAAGACACTTTGAGCATTTTATTGGATAATGGAATTATTTGACAAATCAATATATTTTATTCAATTTTAACATACAAAACATATTTTATTCAACTTTAATTAATCTCTAAAATGAAAACCAGAGAATTTTCCCTGGTAGAAATGTAATGTTTTAAATATGCGATTCTAAGGTCCAGTTACACAACTTGCACAAGTTGCAGTTTAACTCGTTAAAGATCTATCCAGACAAACTTGCATACAACTGCATAATATAACTGTATGAGATGTCATCTACACAGATGACACCTCATACATACAGGAATTATACAAAATAACGTAAACACTAATATTACATGGATATTTTTGTTTTTGCATGTTGCGATTATCTTGTTTCTTTTTTCATTACTTATGCTTTCCAGTTTTTATATGTTAGTGTATTACAAGTTATGTTCAGCAGCGGTTAGTACAAGTAGTCAGCAAGATGAATGACTTTTACCCAATTTCTTCATCTCGGTTAACTTTATTATATCTATTTATTCTATTGGAATTGACTAATAATATTTATGAATGACAAGAATTAACTAATCACGGTTGACATTTAATTGATAGATAAAGTTAACCGGAGGTAAAGAAATTGGGCATTTGTCAGTCTTCTAAAAAGGACAGATCGTTGATGCTCATCGCACGCGGCTATCGATTTCTCGATCTTTCGATCTCTCGCTCGCTCATCCGTTCACTCGCGCCTTACAAATAGCGCGGTTATAGTAGCGCGACAGCGTTTACGTCGCGGTACGAATTCTGGTGAAGAATCGGTTTCAATTGGTTGAAATCTAGTTATTTCTGTGTAAGATAAAACTTGGTGTCACTTTTATAGTCTTTTCGAATACATAAATCTATAGCAATATTCTGATTGGTTCTTCAACTTAAGTTTACGTATTATGGTTACGGTTACGGCAATTTGTGTGCGAAGGTCCTACCATCGACCTCTTAGTAAGAGAAAGAGAAAAAGAGAGATGTATCCTATAGAGCGCGCCTTTGTTGAACCCATTGAATAAAGAATACCAGGAAGGAGTATGTTGCGATATATCATGGGTAATCGATTGTGTTGCATTGGTTCAGTTTGATGACGTAACTACGTCATAAGTGACGTTACCGAAAACAGAGTCTGGCGGTATACTTTAAACATCTTGGAAGTAGCAAAGGAATATTAATTTTAAAAGAATAATAGAAAAATTGTATTTATATTTTGCTCATATTGGTGAGAGGGAAATAAAATTAGTCACTTATAATAATTTTCTCTTCAATATGTTTACGCATTTTTGTCTATTCGATTAATTGACAATATTACATCATAAAATTTACTTCGATTTCATAGTATCGATAATCGTATTTGGTTCACTTTTATTACGTCACATCCTTCGCACTTCTAACAAAGGATTTTCTCTTTATGCTCCTTTCTGGTATTCTTTATTCAATGATTGAACTGCGGCACTGTTCACGTTTTAGCGCGTATTCGCCCGTTATACATTGCGCGGCCATCTTCGACCTTTTTGCGCCGAGCAACCGCCATCGACACATCAATCGACATCGCTCCGCATCTTTTGTCCATCGAAAGTGAGTCTTACGCGAAAACAAATATTGAGAATATCGAAAATAACGATGTGCGATTGTCGGAACAAAACGTAAGTACATTATTAGACAGTAATCTCCTCGTTTCTAGCTATATACAGGGTATATATCTCACACTCTCCTCCGGGCATTTTGTGGGAACAAAGAATAGGTTGCAGTGAACATAAAAGTCCTATATCGTTTTGCGATATTCGCAATAATTATCGAGATATTAATTGTAGAAAATTTGTGAATAATCATGCAGAATATGGTAAATGAGTTATAGTAGCGACGACTGCCGTCGTGTACTTATACTTTAGGTCAAATTGAACAAAAAAGTCCTCTACTATTTTCCAAATAATCACATAGATTTTTAATTATTAATTAAAGAAGATTATTGCACGATTTTGCGTGATAATGCATTCATCTTCTTTAATTAAAAATCTATGTGATTATTTGCAAAATGGTAAAGGACTTTTTTGTTCACTGCAACCTATCGCTATTATAACTCATTTACCATATTCTGCATGATCATTCACAAATTTTGTACAATTAATATCTCGATAATTATCGCGAATATCACAAAACGATATAGGACTTTTATGTTCACCGCAACCTGTTCTACGTTTCCACAAAATGCCCGGAGGAGAGTGTGAGACACCCTGTATAGTCGGTGCTTGTCGCGATACATCAAGCCAATGTTTCTCACACTCGTTATTACTATCACCTCACTTAAGTAGCAACAAAATCGGGTGACCGTCGAATTTATTACTCGGGAATTAGAAATGCGTTGGTAAATCAGAGGTAGGTAGATAATATAACGCTAGAGATATATACGATAGCGAAACATTTAACAGAAGTCTCTGACCATCACAACCAAATTGTTTGATATTTCAAAAGCAACATACATACACAGTCTCCATGACATATCCATGCTTTGTGTACAGCTGCGTACGCAAAGCATGGCAAAACTTCATCTGCGAAGAAGAATAGTGGCCGGAAATCAACATTTACTGACACAAGATTTATTAATGTTCGACAAACACTAATAAGCATTGTGTTCAAACAACACAGAACTACTTGCAGCACAAATAATAGCAGAACTCGATATCCATCCCTTGAGAACTTAGTTCCTACAAATACCTGCCCCGCGAACTTCATAAAGCCAACTTAACGAAACGATATATTGTATTCCCCAGGTGTTTATTTTATTTTTCTCCTGAAGTATATGTTGTCTACACGCAGACGTGGAGCAGGGTAATTGTCCATATTACTGCCTGTTTCTATTAGTGTGTCTTTCTATTTAAATAAACATAAAAAGAAACCTAGGAAACAAATAAATAGGAAAAGTATTTTTTAAATTAAGTTATAGCATTAAATTTAATAAAAAAATTTTTTTTTCTGTGTAAATAAACCATAAAAATAAATTCTTTTTTATGGCTTATTTAAATACAAAGGCACGCTGACAGAAATAAGCACAATAATATGGACAGTTACTCTATCATACATAATTTACACGCAAAGGATTAACCCCGGTGTAAACTGTACCATTCGACAACGAGCGTACATACATACAATTCGATGTAACACAGTGTATTCGACGCAACGATAAGACGACAGGAGACACCCGACCGGAGACGGATAACCGTTATATACGCAGGCAGGAGTTTGGATTCGGGTATCGGTTTGTTTAAACAGGTGCGCGTGCTTGGTTGCATCGCTGCACGACACACCTGGTATTTGCAAAGTCATTAATTAATTCGAAGAACGACCGACGCGCCGCGCGTCACCACTGCGGGACGCATCCTGCGCGCATTCCTGCGCTCCCTGCGAGGATTCGCTGCGCGGCGGGCGAATAATTATCGTTGTTATTAACGCCATCAGCGCGGAATCGGGTTACATTCGGCGAAAATGCGCGAGTTAAATAATCGCGAGATTACTGCGCGGACATGAAACTTACAATAAAGCGCAGACGCGAGTGTGTAGTACGGCAGCAGCACGCATCAGCAGTTAACTTCAATTCGGGTCAAACGAAATTCCCGTACATTATGTCGGGCAAGCGCGGCGTTAATAAGTGGAAAACGGTGTTCATCGCTCGTCGAGCGAAAACAAGCAATCAGAGCGTGTTGCACACTGCGCACGGTGCATTCTTTTTTTTTTACTTTGTTTCCATTCTTCTCTTTCTTTCTAATTTTTGCGCATCCGCTGCCGCCTCGATCGCGGGTGCGCCGCGATATTATCCATCAATTCATCAGCTGCCCACGGCGTATTTCAGCCTCAAATTCGGTGCATAACGTTTATCGCCATCTCACAACGGCACCTTTCCCGAGCGATACGACATCCGCATAATAACGCGCGAACAAGATTCTCCATCGACAATCCACGTGGAATCCTGATGCAGATGTTTCCATGCATGTCCTTCGTCGTATTTCGAGAGATTCACAGAACAGATCCTTTTTGCTCTGAAACACCATGAAATTTTACGGCGTCATAATTTTCTAATTGCTAACTGATAATGAA